GATTAGTGCTTGATGTTGTTGATGTTGTTGTTGTTGTTAGTTGGCTATTTTCATCACCTTCGTCTTCTATATGTTCACTTGAATTCGTGTCTTTGCTGCCTGTATTCTTCTGTTAACTGTTTGCGTTCACCTGTAAGTCTTTGAGTTTGTGTACTTTACTTTACTTCGGCTATCTCCTACGGGAGGATGAGCCGGCTTCATGAACATCTCGAATCATCGCTGCCCAGGCGCGGCGATCTGATGCAAGGTTTTGCGACAGGGTTATCCAATTCTTGTTCCACAGACGGAGTCCGTAGACGGTTTGTAGCCCCAGGCACTCCATATCAGCCTTGACTGTACCAAGCCATGTTTTCAGCTGTCCACCCGTGCGACATCGCCAAGATGGTAATGGCGAGGGATTTAGAACTGATTTGACCAGATCGTCATCTGGTCGGCGCAGAACATGGCCAAACCACCGAAGGCGACGTTGTTGGACCAGTACTGGAATTTGGTTGATGTTGTAGCAACGACGACGTACTGGTGAGAGTCGTTTGTAAGAGAGTTCATGAAGTTTCATGGGAATTTGATACGAGGGATGTCCTCAGAATCGCTCGGCCTTTTGTTTGAGAGTGCAGCTCTAACCTTTACACAACCAAGTGTGACCTACAAGGCAGTAGGAGTGGAGTAGGGAGTCCACTATCCATTGGCAGCCGGTGACCGGAGTTCGGTTCATACGCCTTTTTGAATGGGGCCAGACATCCAGGACATCCAACAAGCCCTTTGTCCATACGTCTGCCGAAGTGAGCTTCATACGCCAGTCGTTGGAGGTTTGGAATCAGGGTTTAGCCATCTCCCCTAGACTGTCATCCAATGGGCAGTCAACCCGGTGAAGAGCGCCGGGCATCCGCTTTCGCCCTCTCACTTTGGTGAAAAACACCTCCTCCACGTGAAGACAGTGAGTAGGACTTCCTCAGGAGAGGCTATGTAAGACGCCCGGTCATATGGGAGCATTTCAAGAGGTGTTCGGAGGGGTGGCCAACCCGCAGCGCAAGGCACCCACCTCCGACCATCCTGAGGCTTTGGAGGCATTAAACACATAAATCATCCAAGCGCGAAATTCACATCTTCCAGAGTCTTCTTCTCGGTAGTCCAACGTGTTCTTGTCTTCTCTCTGTCTCTCTATCTCTTCCTAAATGCACGGTGTTCAGCATAATCCAGTCCACTAGAATCAAGAATATCATCGTGGGTGATAATAGGCAGCCAGCTTGTTTTTACTTGCGTCTTTACTTCAAAGGATTCTCTGAGTAAGTTTGTCATTTTATACCACTTGACACGGGGCATCATCATATCAGCTGGTTGAATCTAATCGAAATATTAACCTAAATTACTTTAAAAAAAATTATATTCCATAGTAAGAGAAAGGGAGATATATTTTAATATACTGAATGTTGACTATTGTGTGCTTTTATTTATATGATCTGTAATCATCTTTAAAGGTCGTTGTTTTTCATCTCTTTCTAAAAATTGTCATGGGAGAGAGCGAGAGAGCACATGGTGAATATGGTGTTTTTATTTCGTTACTGATTACTCACAGGCTGGGTGTGTGTAATAAGACCCACTTATCTCAATGATTGGTATTCACATACAACAGATTTGTAAAGAATATTATTTCGTTTCTAAGAAAACGCATTTCAATGTGCATTAATATATCACACTTTTGATTTTCGTTTCTTTGCACTTTGAGTGGAACATCATAGAACTTCAAGGTTTGAAGTTTTAATTGCGATAAAGTTGTTGTTTTTATGGGGATAGGGACTTAAGCCAAACCACCCATGATTTTTGGGATCACTACTAGTTAGTGAACCAGGTGAGGTTTAGGGGCTTAGTGCATCACCCGGATCGTGGGTGTGGATGGCAAGTATCCTAATATTGTGCCACTGAGGCCAATACTATCAGTTATAATTTTTTGTATTCCCTCAAGTCCTAAGTGGGACATTGGGCTCCAGGCTTCGAGTTTTGAAGCTTCAATATCGGTGGTGCTGTTTTTATAGGGTGAGGTTACTCGCTTTACACGCCCAGCCTTCCCTTTTTTTACCGGGCTTTTTCATCATTGAAGCGAGATAAAGGAGTCTGTAAGTTGGGAATCGAACTCCAGACCACCTATGTTGTCGGCGAGTACTCTACCACCGAACCACCGACGTGCAATACTATTATTTGCGTACTATCAAAAACAAGATATTATGTGATAAGTGTCTAATCGTACTTTCTGACTTCTTTTCAATGTTCACCCCTTACATTCACATGGAAAAGTTGTTGAGCTTGAGTGTTCTATTTATCGTGGTGAGCATTTTATTATTTCATCAGACAGTTTAAAATTCAAATACCCAGATTTATTCATGACTGGCTTTTTCTCCACATCCTAAATCGTCACTTTTTTTTCCTTCACGTTCCCCAGTGGAACATAGGGCTTCAACCTAGTGGCTTGAAGTTTCTGTAGCAGTGTTTATTTTACAGGTTGGGATTGCTACCCTCATGCCCAGACTTCTCTCTTTGCCCGTATTATTTCTGGCTTAGCGAGGTAAAGGAGTGAGTCTGTTGCCGGGAATCGAACCCCGGACCATGTGCATATTCGGCGAGCGTCTTAACCCCTATGCTACCGACGCACATCCTAAATCATCACTGAGTATCATGAATTACCTTCCCAATTCGATTGATACGCCTATGGAATTCAACCTGATATCAATGGTGCATGAAATTCATCTCGTAGCAGTTAAACTACTTTAAGCAATGAATCATCAATTAGTATGAATTTTTCTATGTTGAGTTGACTAATTTTCAACTAAATCAGGTGGATAACAAAAGGAAATAGTATTTGAAATTTATAGAATATTGCAGCATACTTTAGTCTTAGGTATACTTTAGCAATAATAATAATATTAATAATAATAATAATAATAACAGCTGTGTTCAGATCCTTGCATACAGTCTTTAACAACAGTGTAAGGTACTTAAATATAATGGAGAAGATTTGTGGTTTAAGTCGATGATCTTGGTGTATTTGTGTTCTCTGATCTGGATATGGTTCAGTTATGAACGTTTCATTGTCTTTCTAGATAACATCTTCAGCATATACTTCAAATTGTCAAAGACAAATTGACGTAGACGCTGAAGATATTTTCTAGAAAGACAATGAAACCTTTGCAACTAGACTACATCAAGATCATAGAAAACAAATACACCAAAATACATTTTAACACAATCGGTTCCCTTTATTAGTTTGAATAAAGAACGAACAGATTTGCAGGACAATACGAGTGGAGTGGAATGATGGCATATCTAACTGATGTGCTTTTCAAATAAGACAAGACGTGATTTCTAGGTAAATTCCGCTGCTGGATACTACTAAATCTACTACCAGAAATATATGCACACTTGATCGACTGTAAATCTATTCAGCTACTACTGTAGCATGTAAAAGTATATTCACAAACACTGTCCAAAGCATAGATTGTGACCGGTGATCTTAGTAGACCTGAATGTCTTTAGATTACACTGGTCAGCTTACAATTGCTCTCCAGCAGTAGGCATCCAGTTGTATTTGAACCCAAGACCTTCCAGGTGACCACTTAGACCATTCAGCCGCTGCCCCCTATCCTATTGACCATGAATTCCAACTTCTGCCGATTCACAGTATATATGGCGCAACTGCCACTCAATGTAGTAAGCGAGTAACTGCTCTCTTACCTGACTTGGTGAACCCGACTGTGTTGGACTTCTCAACTAAAACTCCAGGTAACTTCCTGTATGGAGCCAGTGTCCAGTCAAATCCCTGCCAACCAACATGTGATTATTTAACTACTAATGAATTAGTTTGTTTGCGCATTGTATTTTGGTCAGTTTGAAAATAGGTAGTTAAGTTCCGACAGACTTAGCTTATTAGGTAAAATATTACTCTGAATTAATCGGTGAAAATATTTCGTACATTAGTATCAGTGCTTTGATTAAATTTTTTGCAGTGATCATTGTTTTCTCCAATCTAGATTTCCTTGTTCTCTTTTGGTAACTTCAATAGCAAAAGTCTCCTATAAAATCGCATAAAATGAATAAACTATGTGTTACAAAATAAGACGATGTTATCTGACTTTTACCTCTCATTTGTGAACGGTTCATCGTTTCAAATTCACTTTTGTTCAAGTCATGGAAAAACAACTGATCACATGATCGTGATTAGTGATTTATTGAACACCTTCACTGTATTATGAGAGTTAACAATGGTTGTGTATCTATTTTGATTCCACTGATTGTCGTCGATTATTGTTTCTTCTACTGTGAAGCTTAGCAAAAAGTGGCTTCAATATGGTCATTTGAATGCATGGACACTAGGTTTCTCAGCAGCTGGAATGGTCTACGAGCTTGCCTTGTAACTGTAAGCTCCTGGGTTCGAACCCCTCGGTATGTGCGTGCTGATGAAGAGTCCGAGGCTAGGACGAAACGACTGTGCAGTCCTCACTGACTGGTTTTCAATGGTTCTCTAACTGATGTTGACTCGTGATCAAACGTGAATCCTATCAGTCATGTCTGCATTATGGTGCACTCTGGGTTGTTGGTAGATGATGGGAGACGATCGGAAGGGAAGCTTAGGCGCCTAGGTCTTGTATTTTTTGACACTCACCAGTCAGTCAGCAAGGCGTATCTGCAGTGTTGAAGGAACTCATGTCCCTTACTTTGAGATTCGAACCTACGTCATTCAGTTCTGCAGTCAGAGACGTTACCACCACTGAGCTATTCGCATTCGCGATTCACCTCTTGTAGGATCGTGTCGGATACTTTGATTGGACTCTACGTAGTAATAAATGTCATGTGTCGTTATCTCAATATCTCCTCATTTCTTCCTCTTCTCACATTTGTGAAATTTCTCGTCCATTCTGTTTCCTTAAATAAATTATCTTTACGAATAGTATTCACATATTTAATTGTTGCTTCTCTTCTTTTGTTTTTTTTTCCTTTCTTCACCTCTGTAGTCGAATAAAGATCCAAATGCGTTTAACACACGTACAATCGGTCAGACAATGCATATTCAGCTAACTAAAATGTTAAACAATGGTCTAGGCTTTACATTGACTAGTCGTGATACACAAACACAAAGTTCACAAATCTCTGATCTTGTTTATGTGAAAAAAATCCTGCCTAATGGTGCTGCTATTCAAGATGGACGTTTAATGGTGAGTGTTTTTTTTTTCTTAATACCTGTTAATTCTATTGGTTTTTGATTATCCTATCGAAATTTTCATTCGATCCATATCACCATATCGCTTCATTGGTTCAGTGGTAGAATACTGGCCAACGAAGTCAGTGGTCTTGGGTTCGATCCCTGGCTGATGGACTCCTTAATCTCACTTAGAAGCCGGTAGTAATCCCTAGAAAGGGGGAAAGTTGAGCGTGTGAGGCGAACAACTCTATTCCGTAAAATAACAGCTATGCTATGAAACTTCAAATCTCGTTACTTGAAGCCCCTATGTTCCACTGGAGACTCAAAGGAATAAAATAATAGAAGTAAATAAAAAGAAACTCAGCAAAGCTGCTCTTCTGGGAAACTGTACAATTAAACTAATGAGTTGTCATAAATCTTTTTTTTATTCCTTTACGTTCCCAGTGGGACATAGGGCTTCAGGCTAGAGCTTTGAAGTTTTTGTAGCAGTGAATTTATTTTTGCAGGGTGGAGTTGCTAGCCTCATACCCAACCTTCCTTCTTTACCGGATCTACTACCGGCTAGGTGAGGGTTAGGATTGCGTCGACCGAGGATCGAACCCCGGACCTTATATGTGGTTGGCAAGCATTCTACTGCTGCACCACCTATGCACTGTCATAATCCTAATTGTTAATATTGTGGTGAGAGCTGTCCGCTAGCCAAAATTGTAAACAACAATTTACATCCTGAAGTGAAGTCATGAGAAAAGACAGGAACAAGAACAAAGACTAACCTTGAGGAACTCACCAACCAATCACAGCAGACTTAGCGTCGGCAGATACGATTCACAGATATATCGCCGAACTGTCTAAGAAATTGCAACAAAGAGATGACAGAATAACCTTCAGCAAGAAAACAACCAATCAGAAGATGTTGTTTCTCTGCTAACAATAACGAATGATAATGTATGTAAAAACCTATAAATATCTCTTGATTTTCTCAATAAACGATCTGTTGCCTGACCATTGTCTTCTGTCGTTACAATATTAATCACTACAAAGCGGAGTTTACCAAGGACCTCAGAATTACGTAATAAGATGAATAATTTAATGAGTGAGTTGTGATCAGGATGAACATAGGAATGAGGGAAAAGATGATATTATGTAAGAGCTTAAGAGAAATACAAGAGTTATAAAGAGTTAAAAGAAAGATATGCAAACAAAAATCAAGATGGCAGAAAACAGCAAGGTTGTTACCTCGATAGTAAAAGTGACTGGATAATTTCCTTCGGTATATGGAGCTGCGGTTCCTCCACCTGAATAGTGAAAACTTCAACAGTGCAAAGGAAACGAAAGCGTATTGTCTTTGTTAGGTTGTTCTTAACTTTGTACATCTCACTGCTTGTAGAGCCTCTACTACCTTTCTACAGCTCTTGAATCCTTGTACATAAAAGATATACGTCGAACGACCAATATACCTGGTTTCACAAGAACAGATGAAATGATCGATGCACATAGAAGAGGTTAAGTGCGTGGTCTTGTCCTTTAGGCCTCTGTAGACCAATGGACGACTAGAGAACATTACTCTTAGTATTGCTGTGAAGAATGTTCTTCTCAAAGATGATGTAATTCTTCTCTTAAGGATATCTTTGGTTAATTCTCCCTTGAAATCCAGGTTTCTTTTGTATTATAGATGCGATTGTAAAGCTAAAGTAAAATGGGATTCCCCGCAAAGAATCTCTTGACTGAACAACTATCTGTTTTGTTCTTTTCACTAATGCATGGATGAGAATTTCGCTAACTTCAGATCTTTGAGATATGATTGATTTCCAGTAGTAAATAAGTCCAGCGGTCAAATACTGCTCCATCTATTTGAGACTGACCAACTGAGTAGTATTATTTCGACTTGCAAAGAATATATCACTCCACAACTCGGTACATAGAAAGTCTGTTTCAGGTAGCTAAGAGTTGAAATAGCTCATTGATAAAGAAATCACATCTATATTGCAATGTAAAGTCGCTCAGTCCACAATTGTTAATGCAACATGTGAACTCACTTTCTAGAGAATAAACTGATTGACCTTATATTTTGATCAAGAGGCATATTTTTAGTTTGTCGCCTTTAAAATCTGTACAACTAGGAAGCTTATCAACAAACTCACACGACTTTGTCAAACAGAAGCAAGATTCACAAACCATCGAATTTTTAACAGTCGATGTTTAAAAAATCATCCAATTCCAAAATATTTACGCCTATATACTCCAATTACTTCAAGAAAAATAACATCAGCAGCCGAACATGTCAGTAGATTATGTCTAAGAGAAGAACTACATCGAATTATTGTGAAACTAAATAATATACGAAATGAAACGGGAAAACTCAAACACAAACTCAAATGTATGGTCAATGACAAAGATTGTGTAATTGTTGTTGAAACATTCAAAAAAGCTAGAGAATCAGCATTAAGAAAAATCAAAAACCACACAAATCAAAAAATTCAACAAACTAATGGAAGAAAAGAACACAATAAATGAAATTGACGTCAACATTTCATCCTCTATTGACAGAAAAAATAGGTGGTCAACCTCTCATCAAGGGAACTAAGCTCTAGTGAGATAAAAGTACTTGAGAAAGGACTAAATTTCAACGTAACAGTTAGTAGCTTAAAACCAGAAGATGTCATTCCTAACATAGAAGTAACACTAAGTTCAATAGATAAGACGACAGCAGAAGAGGTTCGAGCACAATGTGCATTAACACTTTTTTCTTGTTTTCGTAAGCAAAGTAGACAAGTGTGTTCATTGAAATTGCTAAAAATCCCTTTCTCTGATTTGTTCGTTTCTCTGCCTACCTTCCTCTCTCTATCAACATACAATACATTGGAAGATATAAAAAGCCCAACTAGCTGTCTTTGATCATAAATGTCTGCGTTTTATTTCCCTTGTTAGGCGGCATAATAAGGTGAGCAATATTGAGGTTAGGCTTCGATGGAGTGCTAGGTAAGGAGGGAAAATCAATGAATGATGTGGTTGTGAAGTTACGTCGATTAAGATGATTAGGAGATGTGTTGCTGCGCATGTTGCCTAGCCATCGATCGATCGCCTTCCTCGACGGGCGATGTTAGCTGACTGACATAGGATTGATCAGTTGGGAAAAGAGAAAGAGAGAGTTAGTGGTGGTCAAACCGAATCACGGCGGCATCACTCAGTGAAATCCACAGCAGTTGGTTTTAGGAAAGTATGGAGGTTTAGACTTCCTGGTTGGGTATCATTGGGATGGTAAAAACCAGTGGCTGGAGACAATCAGTGATATGGCTGAAAATCGTTATCGATGGCTGGTGCAGATGTATTCACTCTTTGTGATTTATCATATCCAATAAAATCTACTGTTCTTCCATATTACTATTATTTTTCCCTCACTCACACTTCTGTTTATTATCTCCCTTTTGAATGTCTCTTTACTCTCTTCTCTTGGTTGGTGTGGTACATGGTGTGTGGCAACTCGAATTGCTGTACATCTGTGCAAAGTTCTATGCCATTCATACATTGTCTGATGAAACTAAAATACTTTTAATCTTACGTAATACTTTAATTACTCATTTAGTTTTTTTTCTGTCCTTGTTGATATTGCTTTATAGATTGGTGATCGTTTATTAGCTGTCGATGGTCAAGAAGTACAGTCGTTAAATCAAGTTCTCTTACAATTACGATCATTGGAACCAGGTGAACAAGTGGATTTGTTAATATCTCGACATATTACAACCACTAGTGGTAATGATACAGATGTGAATACTACAAGAAAATCTTCATTGCCTCCACATGTTAGTTGAAGTATACTTCTATGTTGTTGTTCTTTGTTTTTTTACTTATTATGTTTTGTTTTAATGTCAATCATAACAGTGTGAAATTATAGGATAAGTAGGCAAATAGAATAAAGAAATGAAAACGTTACGCAACATTGTGTGAAATTTGATAACATAGAATTTAACGTTGCGAAACAAAACTTTGATTTAGAATGACAAGTGGAACAAGTGAAACAATACCGGGGACAGTTCAAAGTGAGAATAGTAATGGTAACAATTGACGTAATAACGGAAGAGTATACAAATTGAAAAACAAAACGAAAAAATAAGTAGAGCCAAAATATGATTAGGGATTACCATACTTTAACATAGACTGACTGACTGACTGGTTTCAACATAGAACTTTGCACCGATGTGCAGCAGTTCGAGTTGCCACACTCCCTCCATGTAGCACACAAAGCAAGAGAAGGAAGTAAAAAGAAATGCAAAATAGAGACAGTAAACAGAGATACGAGACAAAAAGAATAGTAATATCGAAGAACAATATAGTTTTATTGGGTATTATAAGTCACAGGAGTGAATGCATCTGCGCCAGCCATTGACAACGATACCCAGCCATATCACCAATTGTTTCCAGCCGCCATTGGTTCTTACCATACCGAAAAACACAACCAGGAGATAGTCTACACCTTCCTACGTGGCTGAACTATTGTGGATTTCATTGACTGATGAATCCATGTTTTGGTTTGACCACCACTAGCTTTCTCTTTTCCAACCTGACCCTATGTCAGCTAACATTGCCTGTCGAGGAAGGCGATCGATGGCTAGGCATACGTAACACATGTCCTAACCATCTCAGTCGATGTAACTTCACAGCCTCGTCTATTGATTTCCCCTCCTTACCTAGCACTCGACCGAAGCCTAACCGCAATATTACTCACTCACTGTATTATACCACTTCACACGGGAGATAGAACGCAGACACCTGTGATCAAAAACAGCTAGCCAGGCTTTTCATGTCTTCGAATTTCAATGGCCAGGTCTCACAGCCATAAAGCAGGACGGAGCGGATTGCTGAGCAGTACAAACGCCCTCCATTTATCATAGACGGATTAAGACTATGAAAGTTGGGCGTGTTAAAACTAACTTTTTCTTTATAGTGAGGTCTGGCTTTTCTATTTCGATGGCTAAAGCTTCAGCAATACAACAGATGAGTCGGATACGTAGTGATGATTTAGGCAAATTACACTTCTCCTTGTAGATGACTTTAAAGGCGGAGACTGTAGAGTTAGGGTGATCATTATCGACCAGATGTTCAATGATCATGCTTCTTATTGCTGCACTTCCACCTCTTCGTGACCATATAGGATAGTGTTCTTGCATTCTCTTGGACAAAACTCGAGTTGAACTACCGATATACCTAGCTGTACATGAGCTGGTGAATTGATAAACGCATATAGAGTTGGTCAACAGCGGGATCTTGTCCTTTAGGTTATTGGACAGTAATGGTCGACACTATTCTCAATGTTTGTTTATTCAGTCTGTATACTCTGCCTTTATTACATCAATTGTTACTATTTCATCCGTTCCACTTGTCATTCTAAATCGATTCTGTCTTTTTAACGTTAAATATTATCTTATCAAATTTCTCACAATGTTATGTAACGCTTTTAATTTTATTCGATTTGCCTACTAGTCCTATAATTTCACACCCCTTCGAAGTTCTATACATCCTATGAATTAATCATAACAGTTTTCTTACTTTTTTGTGTGTAATATTGATAGTGTGAGAGACTATCTAAAATAATCTTGGCTTGGCAGACTGTTATTGATTTTGTAGTAGGCGGTGTAATGATGAAAGCGCTGAAATAAAAATCTGAGTTGCATCGTGATTCGAACTAGGCCAACCTTAAGAATAGTGATCATGGAGTACTCATGCACCAGTGACCTTGTGAACGCTTAACGTTCATTGGATTACACAATTTAACACTAAAACAGCACCATTTTGAACACACTGAACACAATTTGAGGTATGAATTTCATCTAGATCTTGTTTTTAAGTGATGTTTGGATTGGATAATAGATTAAATAGCACATAGTTGCCAATACTCTTGTGAAGGTTGTATGTACATCTATTGTTTTGCAAACGCAATCGATGGACATGTATTCAGATGTTGTATAGACTGTAGACTGTATAAAAAGAATTAGTGTTCGAAATGGTAAGTCACGCACATGCTTTATTCAATAATTTCTAGAAACTTTCTTTTTGACCTCGACTTTGTCACTGACTAGCACACTTTTTATTTGCCTTTATTGAGTTATGAAAGCTGAGATGACATCCACTGCGGCACAGACCAGAAAGTTGTTGTTTTCTACACTATCCAATAGTACCAGCATTGTGCAGGGATGTAGCGTCGTGGAAGATCAATACCGCCACACAGCTTTTGGGAAGAGATGGGGGTTATTGTTCATATAGAGGAGACTGTCTTGATAAAGAAGAAGTACAACCGTGGTCACCCTAGGGCAAATAATGTGTGGATATTAGGACATTACGACACTACCATTGGTAAAGGAATTGTGGAAGTAGTCCCAAATCGTAGTGCGAAGACTCTTTTACCTACTATGTTGACCCCATCACTAGGACTCATACTAATTCCACTGAGGGTTTTTGGGGGATGGGCAGAAAAAGAAGATTCGATCGATAAATGGCTGACAAAAAATGTCAATTTTAGTCATCTCCATGAGTATAGAAATTGGTCTAACTTTAAGTCTGATCCCGCTCATTTTAACCGGGTGCTGTTTTTGACTCATGTCAGGGAAAAATATCTTCTTTAATATATTTTATCATTATTTGTATTTTACTCCCAAGTAAATGGCTTTTTTTCATTGGTCTGTTTCAAGGCCACTCGTTCATTCACACTCTATGGTCGCCATTCTTTTTGTTATCCTCGAACCAGTTAGTGGCCTTCGTATTATTAGTGTGTATGTTAAATATCAACCGTATGCTTTAGGGTAAATGGAACCCATATAGGGAGAGAGCTGAGTGGTATCGTCTCTGTTATGTGTCTAGAGCTTCCTATCAACTACCTGAAACCACTTAAAATCTCATCAAACTCTTTCCATGTCTATTTTTTATATTAACACTTTTCTTTCATAAAGCGCTCATCTTTTTGTCCGTTTTATATAGATTCCATTGGTTTGAATGTAGAGTTCATTAGGTACAGGTACTCGCTTGTAGCCGGCTTGTATTCGAGATTGCTTACTACTATTGAAGAGTTCTAAGCCAAGACGAAACAAATAATCATTACTTTTCTGTAATTGGTGTTGACATTAGTCACGATTAATTCTTGTCACTGACGTACTGATTGATCGACTGGTTACGACTTCGAAATTGTCACAGAAGTGCTGCAGTTCCAGTTGTCACACTCCATGTACCACACAAATGAAGACAAGAGAAAAAAGAGATTCGAAAGGACGATAATAACTAGAAATGTGAGGGAAAAAAAATAGTAATACATAAAAACAATAGGGTTTTTTAAATAAGACAAATCACAGAGAGTGAATTCATCTGCGCTAGTCATTGACAACGATTTCGGACCATATCTCCAGTTGTCTCCATAGTCATTGTCTCTTAGAATCCCCGATGAGCTCAACCAGACAGCAGTCTACACCTCCCTACGTGGCAGCTGGCTTAAACCAACTGTTGTGGATTTCACTGACTGATGAATCCATTTTTTCGTTTGACCACCACTAACTCTTTTTCAATCTGATCTTGTGTCAGCTAACATTACTCGTCGAGGAAGGCGATGGCTAGACAGATATATGTAACACATGTCCTAACCATCTCAATCGATGTAAATTCACAACCTCGTCGATTGATTTCCCCTCCTTACCTAGCACTCGATCGAATCCTAACCTCAAAATTACTCACTGACTGTATTATATCACTTCACACGGGAGGGAGAACGCAGGCACCTATGATTGAAGATAGTTAGCCGGGCTTTTCATGTTTACCACTTTCAATGGTCATTCATGTCTCACCCACAGCCATAAATGAGAATGGAGCAAACTTCTGTGTAGTACACACTTTTTTTTATCGATAGCCAACTGGATATCTCCCCTACGCTGGAGTTGATGTCGGTTGGTAAATACCACACGAACATTTTTTTAGTACATCCATTTTCTTTACTGGTTATGGTGATGGAATCCATATTGACTACATGAAGGTTTCTTCTAGATGTCATTTACATACTTATGTTGTACAACTAAGATTAGTAATGTTATAGAAATGTTATTGGCTACATTTAATGTTTACGGGTTAATAATACTCTCTGATCAGTTATCCAGAGTGAAGTTGTGATAGCTATATTTAACCCTGTTACTTATTATACTACTATTATTCCCTTGGATTCCGAGTGGGACATAGGATTTCAACAACGAATCACCGTTTCATTCTATCCTGTACAGTCTTTATCAGCTGTCTCTAATATTGTCCATAAGTTCCCATTTCCTCTTCTATGTCACTTGTTGTTTCTCATTCGGGTTTCACTTGACAGCCTGCCTGGCGTGTGATGTCCCGCAACGGTCTCTTCAGTGTGTGCGTGTGTGTATGTATGTCCAATCCATCTCCATTTTTCCTACTGCATATTTGTTAGGCAATAAGTACCAATCTTGATTCGTTGCCGGCCAGACTTCCTTCTTGATACTCATTTCTGGTCGACGTTCTAATCTCCATTATCGAAATGGTGAAGGGGGCAACTGTTGATGCGATTCTGAAGCATCCCTGTTGGAAATACTTTTTGTGACGCGCACATCATGTCTTTGATGAATCATACAGAAGTACTGACTGACTGACTTGACATTAGATGTTTCTTTTATATGGAGTGTGTAATATGAAAAAGAGGAGACGTTCAGCGAAGAGACTCTTTTCGACGCCGAATTCATTTACATAGCTGTACAATCGCATTTATATTTAATTATGTGTGTGTGTACATGAGGTTTGCCAAGTTCATGTAATT